TCCCTCCCTGGCCCCTGAGCTTCAGAGAACCTCTCACTGGTTCTCCTCTTATTGTGCCTCTCCTCCGAGGAATCTGTAGGGCAAAGGGGGACATGCTCACCCAAGTTCTCCCTTCTAGCACCCCTTCCCCCACTAAATTGTTGATTCGTTTCCTATTGCCGCTATAACAAATCACCACAAACTCAATGACTTAAAGCGATGCAAATTTATTATCGTACAGTTTTGGAGGTCTGAAGTCCAAAATGGTGTTTTTGGCCAGGCTGCATTCCTTCTGGAGGCTCTAGGTGAGCCCACTCCATGCGTTTTCTAGCTTCTAGAGGCTGCCTGTACTTCTTGGCTTGTGGTTCCTTTCCATCTTCCAAGTCAGTGATGGCTGGAGAGTCGTTTGCACTTCACATCAATATGGCACTGACTCTTCTGCTTCCTGTCTCCCCTCTTAAAAGGACCCTTGTGATTACATACACTGGGCTCACCCAGATAATCGGGGATAATTTTTCTATCTTAAAATCTACTCATTAGTAGCCTTAATTCCATCTGCAATGTTAACTCTCTTTCGCTATACGATAAACATATTCATAGGCATTATTCTGCCTACAACAACCATGTGTATGTACTCAAGACTTGGGAATTTTCTGAGCAGATGAACCAAGTCCACTTGCTCAGAGTGGTAATTCCTAGAGCAGGCTGCGTTATCAGCTGGCCAGAGTGCTGGCCAAGAATCAGCTGTTTGGTGGCCCGGGAAGAGAGTTTGGAAACACATGCCGAGATGTCCAACACAGGCACTGCAGGTTCCATGTGTTCTCTTACACTAAGACCCTAAGTTAAAGACAAGCCTGGTTGTCATCTCTCAAAAACAAAAAGCTGCCCCCCTCTTTGCCCTATATTACCCCAAGAAATATTGGGAAAATCTACTTCAAGTTACCCCTCCAAATAAAACTGGCCTGGGGGGCTTCCCTGGTGGCGCAGTGGTTGAGAGTCCGCCTGCCGATGCAGGGGACACAGGTTCGTGCCCCGGTCTGGGAAGATCCCACATGCCGCAGAGTGGCTGGGCCCACGAGCCATGGTCGCGTCCGGAGCCTGTGCTCCGCAACGGGAGAGGCCACAACAGTGAGAGGCCCGCGTACCACAAAAACAAACAAACAAACAAACAAAAACAAAAACAAAAAAACTGGCCTGGGGAGTTCACCCCACTAAATTCCAGCTGGAAAATTTGGAAATATTCTGGGAAAGTTGGTGGGTGGGCCCAAAAATATAGTGACTGTAAACTCCTGACTCAGAAGAGTTGGGAACATTTAAGGTCATCTAAGTATTCTATTAAAACTACGATGGCTGGGATAGAAAAGAGTAGGAGAATAAACACTGGATGGGTAGGCTTGAGTTCCACATCACTCAACCAGAAGATCAGTGGTGGAGACTGAGAGAAGAAAAAGAAGGCAGATGAGTAATTTTTGAGGAACTTGAGCTCAGAAGTGCAAATTATCAAGTTCCATCCCATCACTGAGTTATTCCAAGTAATTGTGACACCCACCTCTGCGTGACAGATATGAAAATGAGTACACCAGTGGTTAGATCAAATTCTCTGGTGTGGGTGACTCACTCTTGTCAAATATAATCGGCCCACATTTCCCCTCACTCCTTTTCCACAACTCAAGGTTCGCCAAAGGATAATCTCATCTAAAACCTCTTCTTGTATGCATAGATGCATATGCACGAATAGGTACACGTATGCACACCCACATATAATGTATGCATGCATGTAGATTTACATATGTTTGTTTATAAATATTACTGTGGGTGCTAAAGAACTGAACTAAGAGTCCAGAGACCTGGACACTTTGGTTTTAGTTCTGCCTCCATTTCCCTAGGAGATTTTAATCTGACCACTTGTTTGCTCACCTTTGAAAGAAGATGTTTTAGACTAGGTGATCTTTGTGATTCTTTTCTATTCTAAAACCCTAAATATCTACCGGGGGGAAGTAAGGCACATCTGTTCTCCTATCAGAACTCCAAATTAGCTCTCCTTAACAGGAATGATCCTACTTTTTATTAATGAGCAAACAAAGACTCCACCCTTTGACGGGTTATTTTCTTCTTCTGTTCTGTCTACGCTTCTTCTAGATTCTAATTCTGTCTGGGCAGAATTTATCTTCATTTTCTCATTTTCTTCCATCGCTGCAATATGGAAATGAAGGGAGGTATCAAAACAAAGATATTGCATTATAGGAAGATTTTGCCAAATACCTCCAGACTTTTGAGTCCATGACTCACTAGGATCTGAGAACGACACCTTTGTCATCCAGTAAATATTTGCAGCATACTAGATAGAGGCTCTATGGGGCACAGGGAAGATATAGAAATTGGGGTATGAACATGTTGGATCTAGTTCTGCCTTTATTTTCTAAGTCAACAAATATAGCCTGAACACCTTTTAAATGTTAGATGTACAAGATATAAATGGTCTCAGCAATTGTCTAGTGGAGGAGACATATTGAGCACATAATTGTACAAAAAAATAATCAGTTACAGGTATATTAAATTATCTGAAGATGAAGTTAGTGGTGTTAAGCGACCACGCTTCTTGCTAGAAAGGGAGGTCTCAATTCAAATGGCTGAACGGACAGTCGCAGGAGATGGTGGCATAGGTAGGGGCCAAAATTTGAATGTTAAAGAGTTGGGACTGTGGACTGTGGAGAGCTGCTGGGAAATTTTTTTTAAAAGAGGGTCAAGCATCATTACTTTGTTGGATTTGCAGTGGCTGGGCTGGAAAAGAATAGGAGGACAAATCATGAAAAGTGGATCAGAAGAGGGTTGAACTTGGGGCCTGGAAATCAGGTGGGTGCCTCTTCTGGGATTCTGGGTGAGAGATGCTGAGTGAACTAAGGATCATAGCAGCAGAGATGAAGAGATGAGTGGAGTCAGTAGAAAGGTAAAAGTGTGGATGAAATGGACTCCAAGACCAAATGTGGGGACTGTGATGTTGGATGATTCCCAGATTTCTAGCTCAGCAACTAGGGTGGGAGTTTCAATACCTGAAATGGGGATTAAAAGAGGAGGATCGGGTTGGGTCTATGGGGAAAATATTAGTGCTACTACCACTGAGGTTCCTAATGAATACCTATGTGGAGCCATCCAGACAGAAACTGAATAGATGAATCTGGAACACAGAAGATGAGTATGACCAGTGGTTGTCAACTTGTGAAAAGGCAGTAAAAGTCATTTTAAATAAACTTGTATGTCTCTTACTGATTGGAATACTCCTCCATTGCAAAGAGTACAAAGTCTAAGCTGTGAAAGCTCTTAATAAATATATTTTTTAAATTTTCAGTGGATGAAAGAATGATTGAGTGAATAGGAGCTGCTGTGAGTAGCCAAGAGTTCCTATCCAATTACTATAGTTTGTATATTTGAGTGTATGAGTGAGGTCATGTGTGAGCGTATATGCATTTATATATTTGTGTGTCTGTGTGGTTATACATAGCCACATACATATTCATATAAAGATTAACAAGACAAACAATATATTAGTACTGTACATCTGCATTAGTTAGCTAGGGCCGCCATAACAAAATACCACAGGCTGGGTGGCTTAAACACAGAAATTATTTTGTCACAGTTTTGGAGGCTAAAAATCCAAGATCAAAGTACCCTCAGAGTTAATTTCTGGTGAGGCCTCTCTTCCTGGCTTGTAGACTGAGGCTTCTCACTGGGTGTCACAAGGCTTTTCCTCTGTGCTAAAGCAGACAGATCTGTGGCATCTGTTCCTCAAAGACACCAGTCCTAGATTAGGGCCCCATCTTTAGGACCTCATTTAACCTTAATTACCTTCTGATAGGTTTTGTCTCCAAATACAGTCTCAATGGGGGTTTGGCTTCAACACGTGAATTTTAGGGGGAACACAAACCTGTCCATTAACAACATCAGAACGTTTAACATCTAGATTAACTTCTCCTCAAAGGATAGTCTCTGTGAAAACAAAAGAGATTGTTCTGTGTCATATATAGGGGGAGAGATACACTTGGTCAGAGAGTTTGCTTATTTATAAAATAAGTATAAACCTTTTCTGCTTTACCTGATTATATTGAAATACAATTATATCCCAAGGAACAAACTTTTCATTTCCGAGAGGATTGTAAACCACGTGCAAATAAACCTTTAAATAATAGCTGGATGGGTTTAATCGACTGTCACTGTCTGTTGCTCTATGGAAACCGGGCTGAAAAAGCCAGAAGAGGTTGACGTCCCGCAAGGAGGTCATACCATGAAGGTGTTAAAGCGGAGATTGCTTACGGAAAACCGCGTCGCATTCTTGGCACGTGCGCGCTTGCAATGAAGTTAACTTTCAGTTACGGTTAGATTAAATGTAGGAGCCAATTCCAGCTCATTTTGCGCCTGCTCTGTTTTACCTCCTAGTGCACTTGGCCTTCCTGTAGCCTTGGCCTCTAGTTTGGTGTTCCTTGTAAAAACTCCTTGGGGCTGGGAAGCTCTCGCCCCGGCGCCCAGGTGACAAGAGATGGGGTGGGAACCCGCGGAGCTTTCAGGGCGTGGAACCTCTCGCATACCATTCCTTCCCTCCTACCACCACCCCACTGCCGGGAGGCGGAGAGAGCTTGCAACTTCTCTCCAATCCGCGGCCGGCCCTCCCCGGGGTCCCCCTGCTGGGCGACCGGCCCGCCACCGACCGAGTTGGAGGAACTTCGCGGAGCTCCGCGTCAGAGCCGGGAGAGGCGAGATGCTCCCCCTCCTCCCCTGCCGGCCCCCTCACTCTGCCCCCGCCTCCCGGTCCTCGCCCAGCCGGGATCGCCGGTGATAGGACGAGCCCCGGGCGTGCATTGTGTATATGCAAACCAGAGCCCGGTTCCCCAGGTCTGCCCGACCCCGGCAGGGGCTGCGGCTGCGGCTGGCGCTGCCGTGGGCGCCG